GCAAGAAAGGGTTACATAGAAGGGGGAGGGAGGGTGTGCCCCACCTCCTTTGCCTGCCTGGGTGAAAAATAGTACTCAAGGGAGCCAAGCTGTGCTGATGGGAGGAAGGGGAGGGACTGGTCCCTGCTCTTCCCTAGGGCTGCTGGCCTAGAGGTAGCTGTGCAGAGTGCCAGGTGCCCGATGAGAGAGGAACTGTGTCTCATTCTCCCCTTTCAGAATCCCTGAGAAGAACTAACTGTGGAAGGTATTTTCAAGTATTTTACAAAATAGACAGCACATCTGCTTTCATGGTGTTGTGGACTCATCCTCAGAATTAGACAAGCTCTCCAGATCTGCCTTCCATATATATTTTATATATATATACACATATACATATATATGTGTATATATGTATATACAGTCTCTATATACATATATGTATAGTAACATATACATGTAGTGTGTGTGTATACATATGTATACGTATATAAGTGTGTGTGTGTGTGTGTGTGTATACATGCATATATATACAGTTTCCTAGGAGGCCTCACGATCATTAGGCAAGTCAAGTTCTCTACCAAGACCTTGTATCCATCTTGTCCCCAGTCATTCAGTCATTTCTAAGGTCAATAGAAATCTTTGAGGGGCGCCTGGGTGGCTTAGTCGCTAAGTGTCTGCCTTCGGCTCATGTCATGATCCCAGGGTCTTGGGATCGAGCCCTGCTTTGGGCTCCCTGCTCTGAGGGAAGCCTGCTTCTCTCTCTCCCACTAACCCTGCTTGTGTTCCCTCTCTCACTGTGTCTCTCTCTGTCAAATAAATAAAATCTTAAAAAAAAAAAAAAAAGAAATCTTTGAATCATAGACCCAGGAAAGGCTTGCGAGAGCATCTTGGGCATCCTGTATTTTCAAACAAGCTGACTTCTCTCTGAGTCCTCCCAGGAAGGAGATTCTACTTGTTCCTGCCCTTGGAAGGGAAGCTTTGCGAAATCAAGCCTAATGGAAAGTGTTAGTCTCTGTGATTTAAACCCAAATCCCCTCTGCTCTGGTTTGATGGATTTCCTTTGCCCTGCTCCTCACCTGCAGTGGAGAACTGCTGGTTGCTTTCATCCACAGGCGAGTTCTTCACATACCTCAAGGTGGGAACGTTGGCCACAATTCCATGAAAACAACCACCTTTCTTTAATACGCTGAAGAATTTGTTATGAAAATTAACCATTGGCACTTATCTGTCACATCCTCTTTCTTAATGGGGGCAGAAGAAAACTACAAAGTGACTATGTTCACATTTATACGAAATAAAAGCTTCTATCTTAAATTTGGAGAGAGGGAAATAAATGTACATGTGGCCTACTCTGGTTCATCACTTGTCAAACCTGGAAGGAAGAGCACCCTGGGAGAGGGCTTGTTAGTTTACGGTATTTTGTGAAACTGGGCATGGAGAGTATTTGCATAAATCAGGTTAAAAATAAATTTTGGAATCTTGCTGTGGTTTTTTTTTCTGCCTAAATGCCTAAATTACATAATTAAGGCTGTATTGAGATTAAAATCACTTCTCATTTAAGGAGCAGCTGTCAGCAGTGCTTTGAGCAAATGGACTGGGGGGTTCTGAGGACTTGAAGTTTGGAAAAGGAAGTGATGGGAGAATTATCTGTGAGTCCTGAAACGTTTCTTGCAGCTGCTTTACACCCAGAAGTGGACTCCAGAGAGGTAGCCAGTGCTCAGAGTGATCTGATTTTTTCTGGCCCGAAGTTGAAAATGAAATGGACATGTAACGGACAAAGTTCTCATGGTCTCCTGAAGGAAGTGGAAGCGTCTTCTGGACTGGTTCAAGGATCACTTTCTGTGTAACTTCTCTCCTGTTCATTGATTGTTTTAAGCTGCCACTCTCTGTGGTACACCCTTTCTTTCTAGACCAGATTATCCTTGAGGCCTGGTTTTACATCAGAAATCCTGCACCATGTGCCTCTAATTACTTTCATTTCTCTGCTCTGGCCTTTGCTTATTATCTCCTTTTAGAGAAGGCTAAACACACACACACACACACACACACACACACACACACACACACACACACACACACACACGGAGATAGGAATGAGCTCGCTCATACAAACTTACGGGTCCTAAATGGATTTCCTGTCCCTCAAGGGAAGAAATAATCCATAAATGTGCCCATATACTCCCATGGAACCATATATTCTGTATATTCCCTTATGTTGGGGGGAATTGAATGTGTTATTTCAGAATAGAGCTTTTATTTTAAGGTTAAGACTCAGAAAAAGATTACTTCTTCAGTCTTGCCTTGCCCTGAAAACAGCTGCACGAAGCCTTGATCCAACTGTGTGGATGTCAGCTGGGTAGACTTGAGCTCCTAGTGAATATTATCTTTTCATGTAATGTTTCATTAAACGGCTAAGTCCACAAGAGTTCCCAAGATACATAACTCTCAAGAAAAAAGAGGCATGCTTTGCCAAGTAAAGAGCTATGATTTATGGTAGTAACGGTTATACTCTGAATCTTACTGGGCTTTGTTTTGAAAAATTATTACCACAATGGTTCTGTAGAATTTAGTAGTGCAACCAGCACCATTTGGCACATTTATGACAATAGGGTTCTGGTTTTCTTAACTCCACAGTTAAACATGTTGGCAGCATTTCAAATTCTTGGCACAGATGTGAATATAAAGAAGAAACATGAAAAAAATATATCGGGCAGTTTCGAGTATCCAAATGTAAAGAGCATTATTCCTAACATGCGGCTAGCATGGACATGGAACGAAGAACTTGGTAATAGAGGACATGGCAAGCACAAACATTATTTGCAAGGGACTTCTAAATTTTTTTCATTGAGGGCACTAGCAGTTATCTAAAAGCATCTTCTGTTCATATCTACCAAATGAGACTCAAATTTATTTTTGCCTGGAGACAGGTTAGTTTCTGGATCCTCCACGGACAAGCAAATAAACCCTTTCCCACCACATGACAGTTGGGACTGCATGGCCATACCAGCATGTCTCTGGGTTTCATCCTAACAATGCCCAGCTTCTGGTAAAACAACAGCTGTCTTGAAATTCATTTTAAATGAACAAGTGGCAGATCTACTTTCTGAGCTAAGATGTAAAGGGAAAAAAATACCGTGGGATGTAGAACAGGAAGACTGCAAAAGCACAGAAGAACTTATTCCCTATGGCACGGTCAGTGTTAGCTACTGAGGCAAAAATGTTGTCCTCACTGGGCTGAGTGTTGTTCCTCAACCCAGTTTTCCTCATTGTCCCTTACCCGAGTCAGTTGGGTCTACACACATACACACACATACCACATACATGCTGTCCTGAGGCTAGGAAGGCTAGCTAGGAAGGCTTCCTTACCTCACTACCCGATCCCCATCAATAGAGTAAAAGAGACAGACAAAATCCATTACTAATGTTTGAAACGCTTTCCTTAGAGAACACTTCTATAGCTCATAATTGAAAAATCTTAAACTGGTCACTTATAAAAGAGATCAACACTTCAAATCACTCACACGTGTGGTCCCCAATGGAAGTGGGGGATGAGGGACTCACTGCTGCTGGGGAGAGTGGGTGGGGCAGGAGAGAGGCAAACACTGTCATGTTCAAAATTGTTCCCTAAGAAGATGTCACTTCACTGGCCCCTCACTGAAGACACTAGACAAGCATTGGTAAAGCATGAACATTTATATTTAATTTACATTTTGACAATTTGCACATAAATAACAATGTAAACCAGTACGTAAACATAAGATAATCTGTTGTTCTAGCAAAGTAAAAAGCCAATAACTTTGGTCAGTTTTAACTTTGATTAGAGGAAAAAAATAAAACCACTGTTGATTGTGGGCTCCACATTCACATGTAAGAGGCCTACAAGGGAAGGTCAAATGGCAAAGAGAAGCATGTCTCGAGCCATGCGGGTCTTGGTAAAAGATCCCACAAATAAGAAAGCACAAAAGGGAAAGAAGAGAACAAGTGAGTAGAACCGTTAAGGTCTGGTGTCAATGTCAGTGTGCGATGCTTTGGTTTACCTACAATGAGGGACTGCGTTGGCCCAGCACTGATCCATAAAAAATCGTCAGTTTTGCCTTTTAGAGGAACAGATCAGTAAGGCTCTGAGGTTTCTCTGGATTCTCCTAAGTTCGTTCTTTACTGCAGGCTGACATAGTTGCCATCAATAAAAGGTTGAATGTAGAAACCAGACTGATAAGTGATGCATCAGTTAGTGAGAAAGGAGAGAAAGAAAGAGAAAATTAATAGTGGTAAAGGGAGTGATGGGACTTTATCTCCATGACTTGGGTGTGACCACATAACAAAAATAAAGCCATCTTAGACTGTCCTTACTGGTGAAAGATGATGCATCTCTCTCTCCCTGGTCGTTATGCAGTCTCCAGCTTTGCACCAAGGTTTTGGGGTCTTGTACAATAGCAAGGAGGTGCCCAAGCTCACCAACGTCTATGATGATGGGGTCCTCAAGTGTTAAGCAAAGCCTCAGAAAGGATTTTTTTTCTTTTTGCCCTTAGGAAAAGTAGGTTCTTTTACATGGTTTGGCTCACAATTTAAGTGATTATAAATATATTATATATACACATGGTATAGTGGTATAAATAGATTTATAAATATACATCATTCTTTGCTACACCTTGAATGCTGACATGTAATCTTTGGGCTTAGCAGAGTAAAAGACAGAATGGCACACATTCTGTCCTTCTGGAGCACACTTGGTTTCTCCTGCAGAGTAGCAAATCACTGCATAAGACATCACTTCCTGCACTACTGGACGCACTCAATGAGGTAATTGTTGTTGAACAGCTTTGCAATGCCCTTTCATCTTTAATTAAATTAACCATAAAATGTAAAAACACAAATACTGAGGAAAATCTGAGTTTTACAGAACAAAATACAATTGATGTGTTGGGGATAGGAATGTGCATTGCCTGCTTTTACCCTAAGACAACAAGAATACCCGTTTTTCTTTTCTTTTTTTTTTTTTTTTTTTTGTTTCGTTTTGTTTTTAAGGTGTGGCCTGAGCCTATCTACCTCAAATCCTTCCTGGTAGAGCACCATGTTTGTGCAATTTTGACATAACAACAACAACAAAAAACCCCAATAACAAAAACAACACCCAGACTCAAGCCCCCAAACCTCACACATACAAAACCACCTGTGCTTTGGGAACATTTTGCGGCGGTTTTAAACATGGCAGTTTGTCTCATTCACATTTTCAGATAATACACTGGGATGCAAAGGTCACATGACCACTCTGAATGGCCATGTGACTTTGGGGGTGAGGTGACCCTGCTTTTTGGAGAGGAAGACAGGTTAACAAAGCCTTCTTATCTCCTTTCTGGTAAATCTGTGGCTAGGGGGAAAAGAATTTGAACTATCTACACAAACATACAAGATTCCCTTTCTTGTTTCTTCTACTGAAGTTATTATTGGGTAATTCTGCACACATTCCCCCCAAGGTATACAATGCTGTTCAAGTGAGATCTTATGAGTTAACACATCAACTGTCTAACTTTGGCAAAACCAAACCTCATTTTCAAACCATTATTATAGAGGGAGGTCAACTGAAGTAATGTATTTGTTTACTAAATCGTAGGTACTTAGACAGATGTGCAGAAACTATCTACAAAGAATAGCCACAAGACAAAAATATAACATTTATAACTCAAATTACAAGGAATTTTTCCAGTCATTGTAAACTTTTTTAATTATTGCTTTTTGAATGATAAATTGTATAATAAATTATGAAGGATTATCATTGAAAAAATAATTATGGCTAGGCAATAGTCTTAGCAATGGGAAGGCTATGCAAACATATCCACACAAATATTCAAAATACACAGGTTCAAATATATAGATGGGGGTGTAAATAAGTATATATAATATGTATATATATATTGTCTTTGTCTCATTTATGCCCTGAGATTTCAGTAACTTTGGAGTTCCTTCTTTAATTCCAGACAGGTGAGGGGAAACCATCTGCCGTCAGGAGAGCTTCGCAGAACTGGAATTATGTACAAGCATTTGTTACAGGCACCCTGACTTGCCAAGTCATAAGTTAAGAAACAAAACAAAACACTTTTTGTTTTCTGAAAATCTTAAGGATCCATTGGTTCAACTGTTTCCTGTTTGACCTTTACAGGCCCCAGAGGTAGTGGGTTGCTGTGAGCCAACTTCATGAGGGATGGGTCTGATGACTCATAAAGGCTACACCCTGAGAGGAGTCCATTCCCCATGTTTCTTTGCAAAGACACTTTCAGGCCAGTTTCTTCTTTCTCTTTTCTGACCACAGCCAGAATTTCTTTCTCCACCACAGAGGTCACATCGATGTTGTCTTCCATGTCCTCGAGCCGGTCGGCGTTGTCGCTGATGTCAAACTTCTCGATTTCTTCGTTGATCCGGGTCAGATCCTCCAAAGGTATCCCCGTGGCTGGGGCCACAGGACAGTTCCCCTTCAGGTGGACCTTGAGGCTGCAGAGATGGATGTAGCTCTTGTGGCAATGGGCACACTTGTGGGGCCGCTCCCGGGTGTGTAGGCGCTTGTGGAGTTTCAGGTGCACAAACTGGGTGAACTTGGCAGGGCACACCTTGCACTGGTAAGGTTTCTCTCCAGAGTGGAGTCGCAGGTGGGTCTTGAGATTGCTGGTGCTGCTAAATCGCTTGTGGCAAACCTGCAGTGTGGGGAAGAGGGCAGAGATGGGCGGCGGGAAGACCAGAAGATTAAGAGCTGCGGGTGGGAAGGGCCCGCTTACATACCAACGCCCAGCAACCTGTGAGTTGAGAAGCCTCCCCGTGGCACCTATGGCGTGGCATTAAGCAAACAGGGAGATGTGGGCACTGCACGCGAGGTGTTTACTTCCCCCTGCCATTTTCCACCCACTGGAAGCCGGCTGTGTCATCACCTCTGCTCCTCAGCAGATACAGGATTATGAGACGTGGCCAGGCAGAATTCTTGTGCTGGTTTAAACTACGGGGCTATAGGACACAGGGAGTCCGCTCCTGACACATTCTGTACAAAGGTGAAAATTTCTACCGGAAAACACTGCCCACCTGGCATTCATGTGGCTTCTCTCCCGTGTGTACCAGGTAGTGTTTCTGCAGGTGGGCAAGCTGCGTAAAGCCCTTGTTGCAAGTCTGGCATTTGAAAGGCCGTTCTCCGCTGTGCACTCTGAGGTGAACCTGGAAAGAAGCCACGTGCGTTAGCCCTGCTCTCGGTCGGTGGGAAGACCTCACATTTCTGTTCAAGGACTCAGGCATTTATGATGCAGACACTTTAGGAAAACCATCACGTGAGAGCTTAATCCGAACAGATAGAGCCCCCGCGTTTTCAGAACGCTTCATTTTGTTTGAGCCAAAGGAACAAAAGCCGCGGGCCAACAGGACTTTACACTGATCTTCTAGCCCAAACAACGCATTTTCATTATTCAGAAGAAACGCAACAGAGAAGTAATGAGTCCGAAGTCACAGAGCCAGAAATAGCCAAAAGAATCCCGCCACCCCTAATCCGCTATTCCCACCCGTCTCACATTTGCAAAAGCGCCTCAGCACCTGCAGAGCGAGCCACACGCAAGCGAGCAGGCGCACAGGACCGCCCCGGCGCGGCGCGCAGGCGTAGTGAGGCCCCGGGGCGCGCAGGCCTGCTGCTGCCCCCCCACCCCCACACCGTGCTCGCTGCGTGGCCTACCTTCAGGTTTGAGAGTTGGCCAAAGGTCTTGGCGCAAACGTTGCACTCATACTTTATCTTGCCGTTCTGCTTCTTTAGGGGGTAGGGCAGGGTCTTGTAGCCTGTCATGTTTCTTTTGTTTTTAATGAGATTCATGGCTTCGTCACTGCCGGGGGCCGCCAGCGCCGCTGAGGTAGCTTTGGGCTGCACCACGTGCTCCGCCGAGGCGGCCGTGCCGGCTGTGGGTGACCCGCTGGTGGGGCTGCTCGCCCTGTCCTTCATGCTGGCGGCCGCCCCGGGGAGGGAGAAGGCACTGTGCGGCGCCGGGACGAGCACCTCGCGCGCGTGGTCGGGCTGCAGCGGCCTGCGGGCCCCGTCCGAGGGCAGCGAGCTGGGCAGGGAGGCCGGGCTGAGCAGGGGGTGCGGCAGGCCGCCACCGCCCAGGAGGCTGCCGTAGACGGGGTACAGCCTGGGGAAGAGGCTCAGGTTGCCCACGCCGCCCATGTTGCCCACGGTGCCCAGGCCGTTGCAATTCACGCCGTAGGGGGGCAGAAGGAACTTGGGGTAGTGGGCGTTGTAGGAGGGGATGAAGGCCGGGGGCAGGTGCGGGGCCGGTGCGTACCCCGGGTAGGAGCCCAAGCCTTCGGGGCCGTAAGGGGCGTTCAAGTAGGCGTACGAGTCTCGGTGGTCTGGAGGGCAGGGCGCCAGGGGCGACACCGTGTTCCCCGGGCTGCTGTGCGGGCTGCAGCTTTTGAGGCTTTGGTCGGGGCTGCTTCTGGCCGAGGGGCTCGGGGTCGCGGAGGACGGGATGGGAGAGTGAGTGATGTAGGTCGGCCTCTCCATCCCATAGGCTTTCAAAAAGTCCTCCGGCAGAGGGGCCCGGATGGGGTAGACAACCCGAGGGTAGAAGGGCATTTCGGGGCTCCCGTTTTTTCGGAAGTCATCCGCCTCCTTTTCTGAAGCGAAGGGTGAAATGTTGGAACGGTAGCAGTCCTTTCCCTTGGAGGGGTTGGAGTCCAATTTCAGGATTTCTTTCACGCTGTACTCTCTCTTTGGAACGCTCTTGGGGCACAGTTCATTTTTCTCAGTGCTGGGCTGCTTTGGATGGCTCTGGGTTTGTGCTGAAATAAAGACAGGTCGGTTACTCAAAGGGTTATAGAGAACTGAAGTGAAAATGCCAAAGCTGCTCTCTCCTTGAGAAAACCTGAGCGCCAGCTGGCCACAAGCGAGACACACCTGGCTTCTCAACGCCCTCTCATTCTAGAGGGCTCGGGGGCCACTCGCTCACACCCACCGCTCCATTTCCTTCTGGGCAAAACGAGGACAGTGACAACATCTCGAATGAAGGGCACTGTCTGGATTATTTTGTTTCTACTAGTAAAAACCGTATGATGGAAAAGTGCTGTTCAAGCTAGAACGGGAGAGCTTCCATTAAAATGGGGTGGAAAAATCCTGGTGTGGGGGTGTCAGAGGTTAATAAAAGTCATTCTGATGTTCACAGTGTACCGAAAGGAAATCAGCACACCCTGCGAACTAGATGTGAAAGATTAAGACTCATTTCAAGTAACAAGCAGTCATCAGTTTTCGCCTTGATTCTTGTTTAATACGAATTTGATAAAACCTTGTTCAAACTGCCTGTGCCAAATAGATTAGCAATGTGGATGCCACCCCTTCCCCTCAAGTTGCTGACAACACAAGAATGGCACCAAGGTTCTGTCTGGTCTAACCAGGCTCCCAGCAATGCTGTCCCCTGGAATCACAAGGCTTGACATACTCATCTCTGCCAAACCATAACAGGCACTTCCCGAGCCAGTTCAATTACTTAGAGCACCAAAGAAAACAGGCAGCTAAGATGAAAGCATTTATTCTGTATTATTACTCGATAAATAACACTATTTAGGAACAGCAGCAATGAGGACAGTTCCAGACTCTGCAGGCCATCACCAGCCCTGCCCCTCCAAACACACGAAACAAACGATGCCTTTGGGAAAACACCAGTCAGAGCAGGGAACACCAAAAACTCCCAGCTCAGCCTTCCCTGGAAATCAAAAGTAAAACAGATGCTGCTTCGCTGGCCCTCTGGTTATCAGAGGGCAATCGCTCCAACTGAACAGCTGCCCCACAAGGAGGAGTAGGTTGAAGGCATGAACCAGCCATGTGTGTGGATACCTTGGGAGGCAGGGGAGCTTTGGCCTCGGTATCAGAAGGGGACACGTTGGGGACCGTGCTGAAGCATCTGTAAAAGTATCATTCGCTGTCTCAAAAAAAAAAAAAAAAAAAAAAAAAAAAAATTCCGTTTGATTTCACTCAGAAAGCACTCCAGGCTTGATATCTGATAGGTCTAGAAATGAAGTCTGTGGAACTCCAGATTCTGAACTCTTCAAATCATTCTCTGGACTGTCAGGCTTGAGGGATTCGATTCCAGTTTGAGAGGCCCTCGAAGAATGTTATCTCCTGCTAGCTGTTATCAGTTACTCCCGGGCGAGCCAGCAGCCCCAGAATAAACACAGCCAAGACACTATCAGGGAAGATGCTGATGGGAGCAGTGATGGAAAGCTTGTTGAGGGAGAGGGATTTCTGAAGCCACTAAACCAAAATAAATAACCCCTTATCGGGCCAATATCAGTCTTTCAGTGAGGCCCAGCAGGCAGGAAGTTCAAATTGTCACTTTTGTTTTTTAAAGCTGAAATGGTAAAGGAAGAGAGACAGCTAAGTTGGGAAACTGATAGGCGAGGCATCTCCCAGTCACAGGAAGGAATTTTATGGAGGTGAAAAAGAACAATCTGGAGACACTCGTGTAGGCCCACATTAAAAAAAAGATGGCATCCTCATAAAACGTACAGAAACTTCACCATTTTCACTTGGCAAATTATACCTCAGTCTCATAATTTTTCCAGTGGCTTCAATACTCTCTTGGTTCTAAAGTTCAACAGATTGAGACCATAAGCAAGAAACGAGTGTCCATCAGCAGCCCTGTCCCTCCTATTTAGTTAGGTGTTCTCACTAGGTACCTTAATAATTCAGTTATTAAAGTGAAAACAAAGCTAATGACTGGGCCAACAAACATGAAAGTCAGAATCTGTAATTTTCCACGCAAAATTCTTAGCACAGGGCCCAGCACATAGTAAATTTACAATCCACGTTTGGTCTCTTATGCCTCCATAGGAAAAAAAAATTCTATTTTCCTCCAAAACAATATACAAAGGGAAATGTTAGCTCCCTAAGATGTTCTAAGGTGGAAGTCATGGAATCTATGTGAAGGTACATTTTAAAAAATCATCCTTCAGCAGCTGAGTAATCAGTAGAGCTGGTGTCATTTCTGACTCTCCCACTCAGCAGCAGCTTGAGTTAACATGAAGAAGAAAATCAAGATCTGTTTTTGTTCTTAAATCTTAAATGGCTGTAGGCAGACGGAGTCATTTCAAGAGTGAACTGCTTCTGAAGGCTCTGAATGGCTTAATTATGCCGACTCACATTTTCGATCTATAATAAGAACCCCCAAGACTACAAGAAAGAACCTAGAAGTTCTGCAGTAGGCAAAACAAAGTCTGTTTTCAACTGAAACTGAGAAAGCAGATTAACATTTAGAAGTCTATAATTTGGTCAACTGTTTTCTAGATGGGTTGGTTAGATACATAGGAAAAAATACCAAAAAACCTGGGAGGGGTAAGAGTTAAATTTAATAGTTTCTACTCCTTTTCTTTTTCTTTCTTTTTTTTTTTAAATGCCAATTTGTGATTGCTGGCTACTTACTATATTTTTTCTTTTTTTTGGCCTCGGTTTAATTCGAATCTCTTCTCAAAATTCTACCAGTTGGACCATCATTGCCATTTAAAGTCCTCACCGAGACTCTGGCACAAACCTCTATTGTGCTGGGAGCACGGAAACCCAACACAACTCATTTGAAGACACAATCTACCTATTAGGCCTGATGAAAGAGTGGAAATTTTCCTGATCAGAGGTTCAATCAGCAGTTACCACACCTAAGACAACTGGTTTCACAATCAGCATGGGGAGTCTTGGCTTTTAATGTGACTGGTTATTTGTTCACTCTCCTTTGCTATGAATACTGGACAAGGAAATCGTCCCTGAAAATGTTAAGCCGCCATTTAGAAAAAAATTCTGCATAAATAAAAAGGGACTTTTGTGGGAACAAAAGTGTCATTTCCACAATATACATGGAAATTGCTCTGAACACAGAGAATAAGCACTTGAATCTTAAATGTTGTGCAAAGCCTTTCTTTGGGGAATAAAAATGCAGGGCCTTTGAAACCACATTCGGTGAAGGATGTAGTGAAAAAGCTTCTTTGTGGTTGGTGCAAAGTCACTGGGATGGGTCACTTCAAATGGAGTTACTGTTTGAAAAAAACAAAAAACAAAAAACCAACCAAAGTCTTTATCTGAATTCATGAATGATGAAGCTCAAGGAGTGTAAAGAGACCCTCAAGAAGTGACTTGCCATGCTGAGAAAGTCAGGAGGAAGCAGCACATCTTCCTCTGAGGGGCTCTGCTAGACTATAAGCTGTCTTTTACCATGGGCCTGGCACGGCGGGTCTGGCACGTGCAAATGCCAAAACAGCTGAATGGCTCCTGGGGTACTCAGCAATACCACAGACTCTTGGGAGCTCAGAAAAGATATAAGGGAAAAGAACTGACTCCTTTGTCAAGACCTGACTCACCCCTCATGTTCATGTTAGTAGCCAGCTTGTTTCCAATGATTCCAAGACCTCTTCCTAAAGTTCAAGGGTACGCTGAGTGTGATGTGTGTATGTGTGTGAGAGGACCACGAATGCAAACTTGAAAGGTGATCTGAGAGGGAGATTCATAAGCTTTCATAGTCCCAGCTTTTCAGAAAACTGCAAATACGGTATTGAGATGGTAGGGAGATCAAGTAAACTAGACAGTGTGGGATGAGCACCAACTAGCTACAGAGTTGCTTAGCCTGACCAGGATAGGTAATGGGTTTGTTAACTGGTCCTAAAGTTGAAGTCAAAATCCTAATCTATGTTAAAATTAACATTCATTCCAAATGTTTCAAAGGTGGAAAAGTGAACTAAAGCAATTGAGCCATCAGATAAAACAATTAAGCCTGCATTATCAGCAATTGGTGAATCTGGGTAAGAGGTACCTGGGAATTCTTTGTACTATTTTTGCAACTTTTCCTCAAGTTTGAAATCATATCAAAACAAAAAGTTACAAAAATTTCAAAATTTAGATGCTAAAACTTTTACATCAAAAGGACCTACTGTTAAAAACTTACTTAAAATGTAGCAGTCTTACCGAGAACACAGAACCATAATTACAACAGACTAGAGTTTTATGGTCATTCTTAAATTGTTCCTAGAGATCACTTGAGAATGACTAAAATGAGGTAGCCTTTTGCAGAGGGGTTATGACAGTAACTTCAACCAAATAAAAAAGTAAAAGCTTATAAACCTAAGGAACTGAGAATTTTTTAAAACAAAGTGTTAGGTGGCTACTGTAAAAGTCATCCAGAGGTTAGATAATTAGGGTTTTGCCTTAAAGAAGAAGACTAAGATATAAAATCTTTAGAGTTATCCACTTAGAATACTATTTTAAAAATTACAGCTGTGAGTTTTTCTAGAAGACAGTCTGCGGTGTTCTACATCAGACCATACATTGATAACCAAATGTGCATCTCTACAATATTCCAACCACACTGTAAGCACCAACAAATCACCACAAACAAGGGCTATACCTCGCATAATAGGCATGTCAGGACCAATCCCTTTTTATACTCCCACCTGCCCCCTTTTGGAAAGATTAGAATTAGACATCTATTTCTTCCTGTAACTTTCTGAATTAAATACTCAAAATAGCTCTTAATATTTTACACGATCAAATTTCCTAATGGGGGACAGGGACTACAAAAATTTTTTTCCCTTTTCCTCGTCACTTGTTTAAAGCCACCTACTTGGCCCCACACATGGAGCCGTATAATTAAACAACATGTTATTAGCTCTAGGGGCAGAACTGACATTACTGGAATTTTAAATTTTTTTATTATTATTTTTTGTTCTATAATCCACTTACTGAGATTCATCATTGTTAGCTCTCCAGGATAAGGGTAGTGAAGTCTCTCTGCAAAGTCCCGACAATACCACACAAGAAGCTCCTGGTTGGCAGGGATGGGCTTAATGGTGTAGAAGTAGATGTTCATCCCGTTCTGACATGCAGCCAGGTTCTGCTCCCGGGCAGAGTGCGCTGGATTCACATAGCGCATCCAGTTGCTTTTTTCCTCATTAAAGCCATCAATGAAGTGGAGAAGCTCCCCTCTGGAGTAGATCTGTCCGAACAAAAAGACAGACGTGTAAAAGAAAGTCAGCCCCAAAGCAATGACAAGCTTCCCCGGCACCTCCAAGAAGAAACACAGCAAGGACCGTGTGTGATTTCTCATTCCCTGTTGCCCACATAGAAAAAGAACGCAATCGGTTTAGCCAGAGTCGTCTTGAATCAGCAGAAATCAGGACGGAAACAGGTAAGGCACACGTTGTCAGTTACCTTTTCCATTTCAGTTTTATCATCTTTTCGTGTTGGGGGAAAAATGACAGAAGAATGAAACACCACATTTCATTTAAGGAGCTGCCTCGGACGGATCAAACCACCAGAGAGTATTACTTTTGCTACAGCCGTGAACGGCAAATGGGCGAAGCTTCTAACTTTAGTTCCGATTATGCTGACTTTGAATGCTTTGAGTCACTGGGTAGAAGACCAAGCCAACCGAATACGTCAAACTGAGTCTCTCAACTTTTTCTATGGCCTCTGTACTTGCCGTTTCCTACACCCCCGCCCAAGGCTTAAACTATGCAAACATCCTCCACCCCCAAGCCTCCAAGTCCAGAAGTAACACTTGCTCATATGAATACTTGGAACCCTGCCTTTTTGTGGAAACACTGGGTGGGGCAAAGGTGAACTTCACCTGCCATAACAAAGTGAACACCGGGACAGAAGCCAGGATTTGACAGTCGACTGAGAAGTCACTTTTCCTCTTGATAAACATGTTCAGCCTTGCACTTCTCTTTCAAGCCGAAGGAGGGGAGAGGGAACCCTCTTATCTGTAAGGTGGTTGGCTAAAACACCAACTCACAGAGCCATAGGCATGTGTTTTTCGGAAAAAAGAACAGGAAGAAACTATTGTCCTTTAAAGGCAACGCATAGTGAAGAATTCTCCCTCCCTCCCAGTGATACCGACACACTCAGGCTTGATTCGGTAAAAAGACAGAAGTAAGAATAGGAAAAATTAAAACATTCATTCTTGCTGAAACTACTTTATAAACCAACTCCTCACTCCTCCACAGAAAGTTTCTCTCTCTCCCTCTTTTTAAGGGACTTAAAAAGACCTAAGAAATTTCCTTATCCATCTTCAGACTTAAGAAACTTCCTTATCCATCTATAATCAGTACCTGGTTATCTGCAACTTGTAGTCTTCAAGTAGTAGGGCACTGTTCGTAGCAGAAATTTGGCTCTAACTGGACAGCAGGGTATGGCTTTGTTCCTAGTCACATACCGACTATGATAGTCTATAAATCGCGTCTGTAGTTCACTCACACGTTATCAGAAACAAAAAGGAACTCTGTCCCTTTAACACGGGCAGTAAACACCAGAATCACTTTCTTTTAAGAGTAACTTCCTGTAAATTGTGAAGGGGGAAATACATGTGGCTTCATCAAAGCAGCTTGTGAGAGCTTTTGCGGTGTGTTTTGTTAAGAGAAAATGGAACAAGCCTGGGTGAATTCTGCTATCAAGAGGGGTTTTCAAGTTTGTTTACTCTGATGTGCAAACTTCCAGGAACATGGGGTTCCATCGTTCTGCACTCTTCGCTGGGCGGAGACTGCTTTCTAAAGCTACGGGGCGTGGGATTCCAGTCAGCCTTCCATGGACTACAGTTTACTGTATCCTCATTTAAAAACAGAAACGACTGTGCCATGAAGTCATACGCGCACACACACGAAAATAAAATAATGCGTACATCAAATGAACACTGCTCCTTCTCACCTCACTACACTACCATATATTATCAGGAAGATTAAAAATGTGCTGACTCATAGTACAGTTACAAGAAATGTCACTGGTTTCTCAACTTGAACATCCCTGCTCTTCTTTGACTGTGTAATTTGCATGAAACTTTTTCTTTCCTTACAACAGATGTTCATATTCCTGCCAGCAAAAATCAGGATGCTTTTGACAACATGTGGGGAGTTTTCTCCTACAATATCCTTTGTATGTGAAAGACTGATTCAAATAAATCCTCCCAAGGAAAGCATTTCAGTTACTTAGGATGAATCTTTAATGAATCAGGGAACTGGGACAGAGATAGGAGGTTCTTAGGTATTTCTTGCCTTTTAAAAAATGATCATACATTAAATAAGTCTTACGCCGGGTTGTGTTAATTCAGACTTTTGACTCCAAGACTTACACACTTCTGTGGCTCACTTCTGAGAAGACTTTATTGGCAATAAAGGCAAAAATGTAGTCACTGATATTTTGCCCATTTTAAGTCACAAAGTAAATATATTTTAAGCATGTGTAATTATTAAATAAAAACTGAGCACATAGTTCTTAGAGAACAGTTCTTCGTGCTCTTTCTTGTTTGGAAAAATAGTAAAAAAAAAAAAAAAAGAAAAGAAAAAAAGAAAAACATCTAAAAATACAAAACTTCCTGGATTAAAAAAAAATCCTGTTTCTATGGAACAGCTTCTGAATGATCCCCAAATAGAAGTCTTTTATAAAGATACTTCTCCCAAGATATAACCATGGTAGGTAAAAACTGGCCAAAATAAGTATAATCCAGTTTTTGTGGTTGTTTCTTGCAGCTGTTTTTTAAAAGAATTAAGATTCTTAAAAAATTCAAATAATGATTCCCTGGTAATCATGTACGTTTTATGCAAGTATGCATAAAAAAATTACTTTTAAATTTAGTAAGCATGTTCCTATTTTCTAATTGAGAAAAGTGAATATCCTAGAGAGATTTATGGGAAGAAGGAAAGCAGTCTAATTTTTGTCCCTGTTCCCTTCTAATTCTGGGTCTTTTACTCAAAAACTCCATCTAATTAGTTCATCTTTGAGGTCCTTTCTAATCCTGATATTCCAAAGGAGGTTGTATGGGCCAGACTTTAAAGCTCTCACATGATTGTAAGCACCTCCCTTACACGGGAGTAATGTACATACGGTCAAACCCAACAGTTTTATGATGCAGACACAAGACCAGTCCCAGTCCTCTCCATTCCCCTGGTGCCATCTCCTACCCATCCTTCCTTCACAGCCTTTATTTTCAAGCTAATTCATTTATGATTACTCTTCCATTCAATTAAAGTTAACTCAGCAAGAAATCAAGAAGGGGTGAAATCTAAGGCTTGGTGACTCATTACTACTTCCTTGCAGAGAAATGCAAATGAACTTACCCTTGAAGCAAGCAGCACACTGTTTCCTTTCATCACAAAGCTCTAATGAATTGCAAAAATTAAGATTCATATACAGTCCATATCTCCATCCTTAATCACCTAGGGGCTGCATTTCTAGAGCCAAACAATTAACCGGTTTCAATCACGTTTGCTTACAACTCCCTGTGTCCACAGGGGCCTGGAATAGTTGTGGTAAGCCCGAGTACAGGTTGAAAAAGGAAGTGACCCAGCACTTCTGGCTCCATTTTTTCCCCCCTTAATTCTTATGGAGTCTGAAAAAATCTTCCTTACTTACCCGCCAGAAATATTTCCTGTTGGCGTTCTTGGGAACAGTATCATTGGTGTAGATTTCACCTACTAGAGGTCCAAATCGTGTTCCCTTTGGTATGTATTCTTTACTCACCACTCCAATAACCTGAAGGGGATAAAATGCGAAATAATTACTTCAAACTGTCAAATATTAACCAATGTTTTTGTTGAATCGAATTGGCAAGTGGTAGTACAACCAACAATGACAAAATGATGATACAGAGAACAAATATCAATAGTGCCCACATAATTTTAACAACAATGTTCATCTTAGGGGGGAAATCAACTTTTACGCTCCCAGATCATAAGTAAATACCCAACGAAGCATTAAACTAGTCTAAAGGATTATTCTCAGGTGACTTTTTCATTTTTACTATTACTTTTCATACTAGAAGATCAGAGAAGGTAACCATTCTGTTTTATCTGATTTTAGAATCCGATACTACAGAATTAGATGGTCAAGATTAAATTATTTCAGCCTGCTCCTAGTTTCTTATTTCTCCTTCTCCATCAAACCATAAACAAAGCATGCTTGAGGGAAAAAAAAAATAGTTTTAGCCTCAGAAACCAAAATAATGCTCTTGGGTTGTTCCACAAAGACCTAAGGAACCAGAATAAAAACACATTATATTCTTTTCATTCCAAATGAGGTGTTGTTTTGTTGGTTTTTTTTTTTTTTCATAACTTACAAGTTCTCTTTAATAGAAGAACGATCTTTCAAGTGACTTTGTTCTTCCCTAGTATCTTCTACTCAACAGTGGTCAAGAGTCGTCCTCTGAAATGAAATTTATACTGAGGAGAGCTGTGGGTTCTGAGAGCTGGGGTTCTAAGATCTGAGGAAATGACCTTCTCAGACTGGATGTATCACACTAGGGCCCTGCTAAAGAAACAAGTTAACTATGCCAGTTCCTCCTTGATGGTAAATTTCTTTAAGGGAGTGAAAAAAAGCACCAACCACGAATCAGGAAGCAATTCATCACTATTCAAAAGAACTCCTCTGTAAGGAGTCCTCTGTAACATTTCACAGTTACAGTTTTATATTGGTTTTTATTCAGTCACTTTCTCATTTTTATTTATTTACTTATTTACTTATTTTTGGTCTGAAATCACCTACAAATTACTTACTGAATACCTTACTGAAATGGACCAAGAGGGGAGGTAAAAGAATATTTACTTCCAGGTTTTACTAAGCCCGATGGCTCCTGTGTAATTGTGTACCTGCCGTGGCAGGTCCAAATATATGTATCAATTAATGTGCACAGTGGAATCTCAGATTTTGGTTGTGACATACATTGATACATCAACACGTCTCATGAAGAACTTAAAACCTGTTGAAATGGATATGGAATAAGCACATCTCCATGGTTTTAAGAGTCCAATCTTTCTCTTGTACATTTCTTATCAGCCAATGATTTTTTAAACCATTTAGTATTTAATATACAAGCCAATAGAGCATACCCAGACTGGAAAGACAGGAAAAAAAAAAGAAAGAAAGAAAAAATTTCCTACACCTAACACAAGTTGAAACAATGTTGTGAGCTAAAGTGTTATTTTTGGTACTTTATGAATTTCTGGCAGAGAGCTGAAAAAAGCAGATGTTCATCTCATCCTCCTCTGCCTTCATTTACATCTATGTGCCCTTTCAATAAGTTCATCATTACTGGTATTTGTTGGCAGTAAAACTACTGGGGACAGGAGTAGCTCAGAGCAGTCTTGAGATAAAAAGATGTACTAAAGCTTAAGTAGACTTACTTATGAGGATTTCATTATTTATGATACATTATTGAACCTAATTAATTTGAAAAATTCATGGAATTGACTTCTGTGACACGCAAATCATTTGGCATTCACATTTGAGTGATTATTCCATAATATTAAAATGACAAACAGGAAAAACAAATAATGTCATTTGTTGGTGAGCCAATAATTAGCAGTTGATATTTTCAACATATCCACTTTAAAGCAGTAATTTAAAGAAAGGTACTCAACTGGTTCATCAACTTTGTTTTAAATTACAGTCTCTTGCAGACGTGTCTTGGGAGTCAGAGCTTGATTACCAACAAGTAGCATTACATTGAGGTCAGGTTTTTTTTTTTTTTTTCCTTTTTTCCTTCCAAATTGCTCTTTTTTAAAAAACCCATGGGCCTCTTGGTTCTCATTTATCACTCTTATACTAAGAAAGCACACAAAATTTTCTTATGGCCAAAAAGAAATCAACCTGAATTTTATTCTTACAAAAGAATTTGCAGAAGACATAACCACCCAGCACCTATTTGAGAACAACTATAAGCAAGTCACTGAGGAAGCTATAGTACAGTACTTGCCATCTATAACCCTGCCATCTATAACCTTACAAAGGCAACTAAGTAAGCAGACAGGATAACAATTAAGAAGAGGAGGGTCTTTGGTGGAAGAGAAGTCTATGAAAATACTCAAGCCGCAAACAAAAGAACCTACACATCGTGGTGAGCATTTCATAATTTTTTTTTTTAAAAAGAGCCAAAGAGGGCGCCTGGGTGGCTCAGTGGTTTAAGCCTCTGCCTTCAGCTCAGGTCATGATCTCGGGGTCCTGGGATTGAGCCCCACATCAGGCTCTCTGCTCAGCGGGGAGCCTGCTTCTCCCTCTCTCTCTGCCTGCCTCTCTGCCTAGTTGTGATCTGTCTCTGTGTCAAGGAAATGGATAAAATCTTTAAAAAAAAAAAAAAAAAAAAAAAAGAGCCAAAGAGCCTCAATATTAGATTATCTTTACAAGTGGCACAGAACCCTATTATTTCAAGTTCCATTATACACATAAACCCACATAAAGTGGATACACAGAGACACAAAATAATAGAATTTCAAGGTTGGAAGGAATTGTATAGCTTAAATACCATCTCTTTCCACTCCCAGCCCAGCACTTTAGTATAGGATAAATAGCTTCATCTCAAATCCATGTCTGAGACATTAGTCAAAGACATACAAGCTGCAATTCTAAGATTACAGCGCTCGGCAAGATTACAGCGCTTGGCTAGGTAACTGGAGGGGGAATAGGAACCAAGGTTGTTTTTAATGGGAAGTGGAAGACCAAGTCCTATTCTCACTCTTGCCCCAGAAAGATCCAGATGTGAATCTTAGCCAACAATATTCTATCCCCAGAGCAAGCACATGAGACAGGAATCTGGTATGTTCCTTGGATTTCACAGTGCTAAAAAAAACTAAGAATGTGTTCACCTGGGGCGCCTGGGTGGCTCAGTGGGTTAAGCCGCTGCCTTCGGCTCAGGTCATGATCTCAGGGTCCTGGGATCGAGTCCCGCATCGGGCTCTCTGCTCAGCAGGGAGCCTGCTTCCCTCTCTCTCTCTCTCTCTCTGCCTGCCTCTCTGTCTACTTGTGATCTCTCTCTCTGTCAAATAAATAAATAAAATCTTTAAAAAAAAAAAAAAAAGAATGTGTTCACCTAAGCTTGAGAAGGAAACTTCACAGGAACTGACCAGGGTCCTAAAGAATTATTACTAGGGGCAGGCTGCTGTCTGTGTGCCTCCCATAATCTTATCTGGGAGAAGACCCTGCCTCCACACTTGCTTGCTTCCTCTCTCGCCACCCCACAAGCCCTTCCACGTGGTGCCTTACGTTAGGAGGGAGGCCTTCCTCCACTTGGGCAGATCCGTCTCTGTCAGTGGGCTCAGTTACAGCCGACACCCTGATGTCTGAGGCTTCCAGACAAAAAAAGAGGGCTTGTTTTTCATTGTACAAAACGAAGATTTCACAACTTAGGATGGGGCTTGCTGAATTTAAGTCTGATATGAAGGAGAAAATGAACTTGGTTTTTTTTTAAAAGCAATTCCTCCTTTAGGGAATCTACAAGCACACACACACAGAGGGCTTTAAGCAGAAACATTATTCAGGTTTAAATGTGGTTTGAGCATCCTCACCCCAAATTACATTAAGATGATTTTAATTACTAGCTATCTCTTCCCCTCCCCAAATCCACCACCCCATAGAAATGACATATTCGATTAAAATTTTATTTCAAACATAAGGATATTTGCATTGAAATGACTAGAACTCTGTAGTGGACTAAGACTTCAGTTTGTAATTCACTTTTTTTTTTTTTTTCCCCGAAAGGGAGTGAGGTGAATGGAGATGTTTTTGGAAGATTTCCTCCTTGATTATCTTTATATTAAAGGAAACATGGTACTGTCTTGGCACATTGTCTCACAAATAAAAGGCAGTAGGAAGAAGAGGGAATTGCATGTTATGGAGAGATACCTTTTACAGATGGCTTGAGTTAATAATGGACTTCAATCAAAATAGGCATTCGGTGAGTCCCCATCATGGGTCTGATGTTTATCACCACATGACTCTCGGAGGTCAGACTTAGAGCCACCGTGCGTCTTGAATATAAGCAAAGTCGATACAGGCTGCTGCTTCTAAAATATAACTGTTTAAATTGATCTGCCTGTATTCACGTATTCACAAAAGATTATTTCAGGAGGACAAGGGGAAAATCCCCCCTAAAAGAATAACCCATCAGTTAAAAAAAAAAAAAAAAAGTTTTAAAAGTTTTGAATAGTATGTCTATATTTGGTTTGAGTTCTGGAAATAGGAAGTAAGAACGGGCTCATTAAAGGTGCGGAATGATTCTAAACCAAATCTAAAAATGAGGGTCAAGATCAGAAATTTGGTTCGTATGTTTTGTTTTTAAACCAAAAGAAAAAAAAAAGGTGCTGACACATAGCACAAATTCATAATGAAAAATAGTCTTGTTAAAAAAAATCCCCAAGTATGTCAGCACAACAGTTCACAGTGTAACATCTTCTGTTACTTAAATGAAAACATATAAAGAAGGGGAAGATCAACCAGTGAGATAAAAACCCCTTACAGAAAGGCTTTTTTCCCCCCTTTCCATGGCTGGTGGGACTGAAAGAACTAACTGAATAGTGTCAATGTAAACATTTCATCCATCCTGAAGGTTTCTGCCGGAGACCAGGCTGTCAGGTATCACACCCTCCATGGCTCAGTTCCATGCGCCTCTCTCCCCACCACAAGGGAGCTGTCCTCTCCCAAAGTGTAGAAAAGAAGGAGAAAGAAACAGAAAAACGGGTACAAATTCCAGAGTGAATGTAAGACAGCATCACATTCGAATTGGCTTCCTGATTGCTTTTATGATTAGGAACTGGAGATGTGTTATTCAAGTGTTTCAGTTAAATAAAACATGGGAAAATAGACGAGGAGGACCCTGATCTCTTATTAGGTGAGTTTTGAAAGACCCTCTTTAGGGATACAAGGCACTGTAGGAACATACTGAAATAGGAAGTTATATGTTCAAAGGGGAAAAAAAAAAACACAAAAAACAAACAAGCTTAATAAAGGATCTGGGCTGAAAGACATAAAGACGATAAATAAAACCACAGTGACACCAAGAGGGGCCAGTGTAGCATAATCAAGAAGCACTGGCTGGGGAAGTCAGAAGAACTTTGCTCCTAGTCCTGGCTCAGGCTTCTCACTACACATCTTGAGTAAGTGACTATCTTTCTGAACCTTGGACTAATGATCTGAGGGCATTCCTTTATTTAGCTATGATTTTAAGTAGAATGATGGAAATGGAAAAACAAGCTAAGTGCCAAACGGGAGATAAGAAAGAACATTATAGAATGAAAAGGCAAAGATGACCCACAGAATAGAGGCCTTTATTTCAGTTCAGGCCTTTATTTCACTGGGCAGGACAGGGCAACACGGCACCAATGAACCCTGGGAACAGACCACTGTTTGGTCAAATGTGATATGGGAAAAAACACACGACACCTTCTAAAGCCGCAGCCAAACCTTAAATAGCCAAACAAATCCTACATTGATTTCACAGGCCACATATTATGAACTTTTCTATGGAAAAAAGTGTTACTCTCAGAAAGAGGTATAATTAAGGCCGACCTCTGGGGTTAAATTTTTGGTTAACATTCATGTACAACTGCAATTTAAATTTTGGTTTTTATGAAATCTGCCTTTATTCTTCCAGCAGGGGGAAAAAAAAGGTTAAGCTTTAATGAAACTCAAAGCAGAGCTGCTCTATTTAATTTTAGACAGCTGTGTCTCCCCCTCACCAAAAACACTGAACTCAGACACACAAACAGGAAAGAGACAAAGTATTTTCCAAACAACGGTCTCCCCCGACTCCTTCAAATACTGTTCCTTGGGGAAGGAGAAAAAGTGATCGGACAGGGCTCTAGTGAACACTCCCAGTATCCAGTCATAGATTCCCACAGCAAGGAATCACTTTTTTGTGAAGGCAGCGACAGAAATGACAGTGACCCATGGTAGTCCTGGGGGTGGGAAGTCTGTTGAGGGTCAATTCCCTCAACTCAGCTCTGCAGTAGAGACAAGCAGGAACCACTGCAGTAGCTGAATTCTCAAAACAAGAGTGGTTCTGCAAGTTATTTCACAGCTAAACATCACGCCTAGCTATAATCGTTATATAAAAGGGTAAACACAAATCCTTTGCTCATTCCAAGTTTGGGTTTCCAGCCCCTTTGAAACAACAAAGAGGGTACCCACTTCAGAGGCCAGTAAGGAATCAGCTTGCCTGCCCCAGCCAGAGCAAAGGAGCTGCGGCAGATAAACAGTGGTTAGTTCTGAAGTCATCCGGACAGAGGACACTTTTACACGAACTTCTTCTTGGTTTATACCATCACTTCGGTTCATAAACACGTCAAGGTTTTGAGTACAATTTTAGTAACCCAGCTAATAAAGCTGGCTCATTAAAAAGAAGAAAGCCATCTAATGACCAAAAGGAGACAAAAGCAACAAGGAAAACTTTTTTTCCTAAGAAAGTTCTCTCCCTCAAAAGCTCTGCCACACCTGGAGGACCAGGGTCAGCGAGTGCAGGGTGGACAGTGGCTTTCTGGAAGGCTGCTGACAATTTCGCCCACCTCAGGCTGCCGTTGGGCTATGCCAAGATGTGTCAACTTGCTAGAAGATTTAACTGTTTGCTAATTAGGATGGAACAGTGGAGGGCTGGAGGAAATGAGGACAGACTGAGGGAAAGAGAAAGCAATGAAAGAAGTGAATTAAGTAATCAATTATTTATTGATACAGATTCTCACAGAAATACGAGGCTGCAAGGGCAAGTGGTAGGGAGATTGGGCGCCAGGGGCCAACCTTCTTCAGCAAGAAACCAGAGGCTTACCTCTTTGCTGTTGGTGGCGTACTTGAAAAGCAGATTCCTTGGTAGGGATGCCTCTGCCTGAACTGAAGTCCCTCCATCGGCACCACAGTCCCAGGGGTGGTCGTTCACAATATATGTACACTTCTCTTCGAACTCAGCCTCTGCCCACAGAGTCATATCTGCGTCCTCCATGTCCATTTTCATGGTCCCGTCCGTCAACCCTTGAAACCTCACAGTGCTGGAGCTACACTTCGGGGCAGCCTGGAAGAGAAGGGAAAAGGCCTTTAATCCCATTGTCCTGTGGCTCTGTCCGAGAGGCTATGACTAACACAGTAGTCTGAAGACTTTAAAAGCAGATGCAGAGTGCTTGGTACAGTTGAGTAAGAGCCAAAAAGCCGTATAAAGAAGACCGCCTTGAAGAAGCAAGGTTTTAAAATGCTACTCTTACTTAGTTCTTAAAAAAGGAAAGAAAGAAAGACAAGACTGTGGCAAACTCACTGGGGGGAAAAGGAAGGAGAAAAGAAAGAAAGAAGGAAAAGATCACCTCGGAACAATCCCTGGCTTTACCTCTCACAGCAGAAGAATGCTGTGGGCGCTCAGTCCTAGGTCCCAAAGCTCCTGGGGTCATGGCCGCCAGACCCTCAGCGCTGTGGAAAAGCTGCCTCAGAAAAGTGTCACAAACAAGGAGAGGAAGAGGAAGGACCTCTGTCTGCCTCTGAATGAAGCTAAAAATGGAAAGCGCGTGTGGGGCAGGAGCGGAACCCAGCCGGCCTTTTCCAAATGGGGAAGACTGAACTTTCCCACCAGCTCCCAACGCAAAACAACTTTCAAAACAACTCGCCACCCCCCCCTCTACTGCGCGCTCCCTTTCATCCTCTCACATGGAAGACTGAAAGGGTTGCATCCTGCCAGCATCACTGAGCTGCAGCTTTTCAGAAATGGTTTGGGAGCACAGGAGAAAGAGCAGGAAAAAATGGGCGAAGGGGAAAAACTCCTGGCAGTTTCCTTTGGTGGGCATCTCACGCCAGATTGAAAGAGCAAAAACAAAGCATAAAACTGTTCAATAGCATTCCTTGCAGAGAATTCCTTTAGGAGCCCTCAGCTACAAATAGCACTTTCCATTTAAATCTGAAAGTGTACAAATTCCCAGAAGTCACTGATGTGCTTCAGTTTACTGTAACTAAAGTTTTAACAAATATAGAAGACTCAGAGGACAGGCTCTTGCTTCCACTTGTAAACTGATAAGGATATTCCCGCAAATCCCCCCTCACACACTCAGGAAAAGTGCTTTCCGAAGAGAGAGAGAGAGAGAAAAAAAGGTAAACAACTTCTGCAACGCTTTCCCATACAATGTTTGATGAAAAGTAGGAACATGGGCATCATTTCCACGTAAAAACGTGTCCTCCTTAGAATGTAAACACAACTCTCCGTGGAAGTCCTTCCAAGTGGCTTTCACATTCTTCTCTTTCTTCCCTAAATATGATGCTCTTTTAGAAAGAAATCAGATGCAAAGTTGTTTTTCCTGATTGACGATTGAAACAAACTTGCTTGTTTTTATTTAGTTCCAACATGTACAGTCATGATGCCACATAAGTGTTAAAATAAAGCAAAATATGAAGATTAAGCCAGCCCGGAGAAGTCACTTCGGCGGTGGGTAGGCAGGAGCCACTACCGAAATTTCAATGAATTGACAATTATGCTTCGAACTGAAAGGGTTAATGATTCATAAGGAAAAAGTCTTACAAATGTTTGACAGTTCTAAGAGCCCTAAAGCAGAACCACTCCTGGTTTCTACTGCGACTACGCTAACAACAGCAACAACAACAACAACCATTTCTGATCAATTTCAGAGTGAAAAACAAGATCAAGTTCCTTACCAAGGTCGTACCCACACGCTTTTCCAAGCAAATATCCAACATCGGAGAAAAGTGTCGCTCATCTCTACACAGTCCACATTTCCTCCGCGTCCCCCCGCGGGCTGAGGACTGGCGCGCAGCTCGGCGGTCCCTCCTTCTCCACGGCCGCCCCGGCGCCCGCGTCCCGGCTCTCCGTGGCGGACAGGTGCCGCGCGCTGCTCTGCCTCTCCGCAGCACTGGAGGGCTGAGTGTCACCGCAGCACTTTCAGTCTGTGTTAACCAGACCGGAGGCTCCTTTCCCCTCCCTGCTGCAGATTTCCCATTCGTCTGATTCACTCCCACCAGCTGCTGAAGGGGGGCGTGGCCACACCTGGACTCGCCGGAGCCGCGCCGGAGCTCGGCCCAGGGCTTTCCCCCAGATCTCGAGCCTCCCAGAGCTTCCTCTCTTCGCATGTGAATTTCAACATTTACTTGGAATCTTCTTACTTCCCTTTGAAAGCACTTAACCTCAACGTTTACTCGGGCTGTATTGTATTCTAAATACTCAGCCCGCCCTCCTTCCTGCTGAAGCTTTCTAAGGGGGCGCACATTCCTTAAATTAAGGGAAAGCTAAAAATTACCTAAAAATCTCGTAGTTCCTCGGCTCAAATTCACAGTTTAAAGAATAGACAAAGGGTACCTGAAAAGATCGTGCGAAATTATTTTTGCATTTAATGTAATAAAATGTAGCTATCTAATCCTCCAGTTATAGCCCCAAAGCACGTCGGCCCCCCCGGCCCCCCCTCGCCCCCCCAAAACTTGTCAGCTTCCATGTCTCCTGCTAACCGAAACACATTCAGATTTGGTAGAACTAACTTCCCTCTTTCAACCATTTAATAAATAGGGAAATAGGGAAAAGTTATAATCCTATGGGTTAAAAGTCCTTGCCTTTGCTCCCCTCCCCGAACCCACAGCCAGACTTCCGAGGAGGAGTGTGTAAGCAAAATGTAGAACATTAATCGTTTCACAGTAAAAGAGAATGTTGAACTGATCACTGCAAGCGGAGGGCAGACGGAGGCAGTAATTAGTGGGGCTCGCTTTACGCCCTGTCCGGCTTTTCCTCCAGCCCCAGTCAGTCCTCTGTTGAAGGAAGGACATCCTGTGATGATGGCATACAATGTCCTGTTTGTTTATTATTAAGAGCGTGGACCTTGCATTCCTGCTTCTCATTACAAAACAAACCAGATGCTTTACTTCCTTCAATGGTCTTGTGCCTTCAGCAAGGAATCCTCTAATTCAGAGAAACAATGATGCAAAGGGTCATTTATAGCAGGCACCCCATTACAATTACTGTTTAGATCACTGAAACACAAAGTCTCCCACTTTTCCTGCTTGCCTCATATAGGTGGTTGTTTTTGAAACCGTCTCTCCTTCAACCTTAGGCTGCAATGTCTTTTCTAACATTTTAAATACACGTGTGCATACACACCCACGTTCCAACACACACACACACCCACATACACACACCCGGTCCCGACCTAATGATACCAACTTAGTCATACAATGAAGTGGACATTTGAGTATTTGTTTACAGGAAGAAACAAAACAAAGCCCAACAAAAGCCCAAGTGGATCATAGAAATATGTCTGTTTATCTTTAACCTTTCTTTTCCCTCTTTTAGGAAAGTTTTCTAGAATTGCCTCGGGGGGGGGGGTAGGGAGGGGGTGGTGGGAGGCAAAGATTATTTGCCAGGAAATGGTTTTTGCGTCTAAAGTCCTTCCACAATCTCTGTAGTACAAAACAATTACATTCCCACTAGGGGACATAAGCAACACACACTCCCCGCTCGGTTGCCCGGAGGCTGCTATTCCACGTTTCGCCAGAGGGGACGCTAGCAGCAAGAGGAAACAGGGCTTGGCCCCGGCAGATGTGCTAAGGGTATAAAACCCAATGAACAATTCCTAAGAGTTCTCAGAAAGCTCCAAGATGATCATTAAACAAGAGAAATCCAGCCTTCTCGAGAGGGTTTATTAACTGATGCTGAGTCAGCGCCACAATGGACAGAAAAACAATGTAGTCATAGCGAAGGCTGGCCTGCTGTTGCAGCAGTCTCGCCGGCAGATGGTAAAGACTATTTCACTTCCCTTTGAGAATCAAACTGTGTTCTTGGGCCACATACACCATGCAAGTGCTCGTGAGTCAACCATGGTGGAGGGACAGGCCAAAAGTTGGATATTTGAGGTGGGAAGAGGCTATTTTAAGCCCAATATTTATTTTAATGACTGGAAGATGCCAGTGAATCAACTCGCTGTTAATTAGTATCAGCCTGCACTCACCTTCAGAGGTGGTGAAATGGGCCTGAGTCTAGGGGAGGACGCAAACTTCAAATACCAGTGTGGGGCTTAGCCAGGCAACCCTAAAATTAGTTCCAGGTGTCCCAGCTGAGCTGGAGAAGGCCACGAGTGGAACTTTAAGGAAAGTCTGTTTTAAAACACAGTGTTAGACTAGAACATCCTTAAAATGTTTGCTTCTTGTCTAAAATAGTACCCCAACGCCCCTCCCTTCCGCCAGTCCAACCATTTCTATTGCAACGATAGCAGTCAAGGATAGGCAATAATATAATTAAAACTCAAAGATGCAAAAAAGAAAGAAGGAATAAAGGAAACATGCCCCCGGAAAGAACAAGCATGCTCCTCTAGTCATATTAGGTATGGTCCAGCACAAAAATATTAAGCGGGGAGAAGAAGGGGGTGATCCCTGAGCTTCATCCACTCCTTCGAGAAGTCCGAGTACCACATTTGGAATACGGACTCAAGCAGGGAGTTGTTGGTATTGGTACAGCTGTGCAGACAGGGCTATCTAAGGTTGCGACCGTTGGGAATCTTAAGTCTTAAAATGTTTGTTTCTAAATAATACCTTGATGCATTTTTGTCTCTATATTATTTCCCTCCCTATTAGAACACCAAAACAAAACAAAACAGCCCCAGTTACTTTTATTTATCGGCATTTGTTGTGAGACAGATTTCTCTCATTAAGAACGTTCACATGGGCCCCCGGGTGGCTCAGCTGGTTAAGCCTCTGCCTTCGGTGGGGCTCGGGTTTTGATCCTGGGATGGAGTTCTGCATCCGCTCCCTGATCAGCAGGGAATCTGCTTCTCCCTCTCCCTCTGCCCCTCCCCCCGTTCTTGTGCACAAGAACTCTCCCGTCTCTCTCAACTAAATAAGTAAAATCTTTTAAAAAAATTAAAATAGAGTGTTCACAATGGCAACCAATCATAAATGATCCCGATAGCTCTGCTCTCAGAAACCCCCATCTGTTTATTCCCTTTGATGCTCTCATCACATCGCCTCAACAAGCCCATGTTACTGGGTCTGGGCTACTGGGCCTGGCCTAGGGCTGGGGGTGGGGGGTGGAATTACAATGTAGGTGGCCAGAGGACTGTATGGAGAAGATATGGTAGAATGAAGGGAAACTGAGTACCAAATCTGGAGATCTGACTCCACTTGCTGGGGTGGGTGGGGGAAGATCCCATCCTAAAGAAAGTAAAAAATGGGATGAAATGTGCCTGAGATGAAACGTGTTTTCATTTTCTAATTCAACTCCTGCTATACCCAAACAAGGTCAATGACAGACTAACCACATCAAAAGAACACCCCCCACCCTCTTCTCCCCACTCCCTACCCACCCACCCACCCACCCTCACCCCCCACACCCATTTCCCACTTCCTGTAAGTTAGGCATCTTCATGCTGGTAAACATTTGGGGACCAACTGCAAGCCTGAGCTCTAAAAGAGGGGCGCCACGGCTTTGAAGCCCTCCCACATGTCTCAAAGCCACGCCGAGCACTAGAGGGACACTTGGTTTTTAAACTTTAACAGCCTTTTCAACTCAATTCACTGGGCTCAGCTTTCTGGCTGCCTTCCTTTTGTAAAGCCGGACAAGAAGAGCAAGTATGTGTATGAGTGAGAGAGAATGTATGTATGACACATGCTATGTTACAATGCGGCCTGTGTGTGTCATTGGTATGATATGTGTATGATATGTTTCAATGATGTGTTGCATCAATTTAAAAATAGCACAAGCCTTCCTTCTTATGACAGGGCTCACCGCCCCAACTCTTTGGACAAACATACTCAGGGCCTAAACGTTGGGCCAGTGAGCCTGGGAGGCTGTGGATGTTTTGAAATGAGGTCAGTGTTTTGACTTCCTAAATAAGGGAAACAAAAATTAAGTCAATTGAAGAACCAAAGTCGAGCTCCTGGCCTTCACTAGAAATAAAAATCCATAAGTGCCATCGAGAGGAACTTATAAAACCCACACAGTGTCTGAGGTCCTGGTATGGAGAAAACCACCCGTGTATCATCACACCTAAGTGTCTCCTTCACGCTCCTTTCAGACCGACAGTTGTGTTCGTATCCCATCATTCATATATTTTTAAATGATTCATTGACTTTGACATCCACCAACTTAATAAATAAGCAGTTATACTCTTTTCCATAGGCTGTGTGGAAACCCATGTAGGTTTCTAATATTTGTTTGTGTTACTAATGCTGTTTTTATTTTAGGGAATATTCAGACAAGAAAGGGATTTAAATTTCTGGAAAGGTTGCAGGGAAGGTCATTGGAAAAGGAAGATCCTCTCTGAACCCAGAAAATATTCCAGAATCTTATATTTGGTGGGGAAAGGGAATAAAACGAAAGTAATGAAGGCAAAAGATGTAGAGGAAGGGGGGGCATACAGTCTGCAGCTCAGCTTTCTCTGACCTCTTTGTTTAGGGAAAAGGAAGAGGAGCTTCCACACAAGAGAAGGAAGACCACAGGCAAGGGTTTGCTTCTCTCACCCTACAGCGGGTAGAGAGGCCACACTGAAAGGGGGGGGAGGGCCCACGATGGAAATAAAAAGAAAAGTAGTCAGTAGGAATGGTTTTCTAGAGGAAGAGGAAGGCGGAGGAGAGTGAGGTGAGCAACCACAGCTGGGAGGCCTAGAGTCCCCAGTGAAGAGGAAAAACTGTCCCCTGGGTAGGCCTGCCACAGCGTGCTTCCCTGAAGCCACACAGTGTTAAACAAAAGGTCAAGGAAGAATGACTTCTTCTTAAAGATGGGACTGACAATTTCTTCTCATCCTTTCTGAGGAAACATTCAAGATTGGGAAGGCCTGATT